TATATATATATAGACAAAATCGTGGCTATTTTAAGATATATATGTACATACATAAGAAATAGAACGTCTCACAACATGTACTCATTAACATATATGACACTACATTCTAGTAGATTGTCCATTCAAGATATTTATGAATATATGTCCTCACCTTATGTTCTGTACGCTCATTCAAATGCAGTGAATTCAACCAGACATACATTCAATAATCGCACGTTGTTATATTTAGTGTAAGATGTTGAATCGCCGAGATCGCCATACATACTTTCTTTTATATTTAAGTGATGCATACTATAAGCATACAATATATTCGTCGGATATGTAGAATTGGGTTCGATTCTCATCGACTCCGCATAAAATGTAATGTCTTCCTACGTTCTCAAGACCAGGCCGTTTTAGCTTAGCCACATGCCAGAAACGCACACTGCACAAGATCATTAGCTAACCTTCGTTTTATTTATAAGTGTAATCGTTTTGTCGTATACGGTGTATATTTTCTCACTGTATCGTCAGCCTGTCACACAATAATGATATGCAGACCTTCGGAGACATCGCAACCCACACGCATCCCACAGTCCATTCAGACACCTACAGGTTTGCATACGCCTACATTCGTAGTCCGGTACGCGCTGAAATCAGGAAACATATCACATGTCACAGACTGAAATTGTGGTACCCCAATTTCACATCGCAAGTCTATCACTAGGGGGTTGGGTAAAGATAGTCGATGCATCCATGCGTCCGTGCTTCTTACAAGGACTTGCACTTACTCATCCAGAAACTCGACTGTTATTCGTAGCCGCTTGTAGTCCTTTGCGAACGCATTCTTGATGTACACTGTGCCGAATATGCCGTCTTTCTCGGTCTCCTTGAATCGCACTGAGTTTTTTACAGAATTCTCGTACACGCACTCGACGGTCTTTGACTCCGCAGCCTTGACTGAGGATTCCGAGTCGGTTTTGGTGCGCTTGCGGCTAGGCTCCTTCTTGTCGGTCATTGTCAAGCGTCAACTGTGAACCTATCGATCGGCCTGTAGTGCGATTGTTAGAACTCTCTATGTACGGACAGCGTAGACCCCCTTTTATACATATAAGGCACGGCGTGCAGTATGCGCAGCAAATTCAATTCCCACACATTTGACATTTCCTTATCAGGGCCATCGCTAATCACTTTTTGTGTCTAATTTTCAGAAGGCTATGCTTTTCGAGATCATTATTTGTCCGATTCGCACGACTTTTCTATAGACCACCCACCGACTAAAATGATTCCAGCCCCGGGCTTTTTCTGGCCCAAACCTCATTACTTCAAACGTATGATTTTTCATATTTCAGCGTTATAACGTACCAGTTGGATAGTAGGGGCCAAACTAACAGGACTGTAAGAGGAAATGACTACTATGTATTGCACCTCAGAACACAAATATTGCACCCATTTGAAACCCACAACCCACAGTAAACAGTTACTCTGGATTAAAGTCTCTGCCACGTCGCAGCGAGAACTTGATTTCCACTCGACGATTTTTATACGTTCCAGCGCAAAACGTATTGACGCTATCCCTGGACCTACTATAGAATCTCATCCCACGATCGAATATACGATAAATATAAATTATTCAGCTATGTTAATTCGTTTGTATTGTGACAACAATTACACGTTTCCGTCAGTGATTAGCCGGGCAGTAACACAAGTCTGGCTGCTCCTAACCGCTTGCTAATGTTGTCTTAACAGATGGTCCAGTACAATCAAAATTGTATCTGCTCCAATCCATTTTTTGACAACCTTTTGTATATCAGTTCTTATTTGCACACTGAGCATACTTTTGTCTCGGGTGTATATTTATTTCACGGAATACGTAGGTTGCAAGCTCCCATAGCTTTTTCTCCTCTGCTTTGGAGCGTATCATGGCCAGCAGTTGGCATGCGCCTCGTGCAGAGTTTACAAAAGACTTTTCAGTGCGTACAAATCCTCAGATAATAGTCTATTCATTGATTTGTTTTTCTTCTGTACGGTTTGTTGTGATTTAAATACACGTATGCATGCAACCGTAACGGAGATGATGATCTCATTTTAGAGGATATTGCTGGTTTACAAGTGTATACTATACTATCAGGCGGCCAGACCCGCTTGAATTCTGACGGGTAGCTGATTTGAGTGTACATACGATAGAACGAGTGTTGGTTGCTCAATCACCTCTGGTACGGTTGGGATACATCTCAACAATCCATAAACCAACATTGACCACAATTTCCTCTGTCCCGATCCAGTGCAGAGTCCGAAGCATCTTTTTTAAAGTCGTTCAGACAGTGCATACACTGCAAAAGTACCATTCCAACAGGACGATTGAAAGTATGTACAGCGTGCAAAGCGAGCAACTACTGTCGAAGAATTGCCAGAAGAGGGATTGGCCTACACGCCTAGTAGTATACGATATTTTGGACTACTTTCTGAGAACTCAGTGTATGGACGCGTTGATCGGTATAATGTCCGCAACCAGCCTTTTGTTGTTGCCAGGCACGTATGATTGATATAAGACTATTTTAACATGCCGATGAGCCGGTCATCAGTGAAAAAATGGAAAGTAACTTAGCCAAGTATCAGAATGACCTGTCCGACGAGGAGGACCAATTGCTCGAACGGTAAACCCGGACGCAGTTACACAATACTGACACGGAAATCGGGTCAATCTTTTCGAGTTTGACGATCCATATAGGTCTGAATTAAGTCTATACACAAGTACGTATATGACAATATAGAATATCTTTAGGAGATTGCTTTTTGTTCAAACAGCAGAGACAGCGGGTAAATCGTTGGCCCAAAGAACCACGTACAATTGTCCGTTGTCAGAATTCAACACGCTTGAGAATTAATTGTGAGCAACAAGTAATAAATGATACTAGTACAGACAAACGTTCGCATTAGCGACCGCATAGCAGTTGTATGCTTTCAGAAACCACCGGTACATAAGTCATTTGCTGTCGACGTACCACTGGTACCAGTGGTCAGGTCACAATCAATCTATGACTGAGCACACTAGCCAAATATCGCTGCAGGTACATATTGTGCAAGTATGAACTGGAAAACAACTACCTCCCCCCCCCCGACTATATTAAAAACTGATTCTAGTGAAATTCGGCAGGGTTTATAAAACTCTGCTCTCAGATAGATACATAACGAGAAGACATACTGTGCACAATTTAACCTTCCGCGCAAAGGTTTGTGTAATCTTTCATACATACAGAACATCAGTATTTCATTTGGCTTCAAGGAAATCTTATTGTGTAGCAACAATCATCGAGCACGGCTGCCGAAACAAAACACGGCCAACTGTATGCTAAACCCACCCCAACAATTTCACTATCTCTATACATAACCGATTTCTCATATTCGAATACCTATCATCCTTACAACACCCGAGACTAATAGAGACATGAGCCATACAACACACATTCACCAGCAACCAGGCCCTCAGTTGTACTCAGAAACATGTCGACAGGCCGAGAACACGCAGGAAATGCGTATCATTTTTACTAGAAATTTTAATGCTTTCGGTAATGTCACTCTCTGGAGTCCTATGAGCTCCTGCATGATACCTCTGTCTAGCACCCTACACCCAATCCCCACTGCATGATAGTTACGCAACCCCCACGCACACAAGGTCCCGTCTGCAGACACATGTCCACACAACCGGCACCCTGAAGTGGGATGTCTAAGATAATCCCATCATCACAGTAAAAGGAACGAGTGCAAGCCAGCTGGATTTATCATCACATAACAACAGTTTTAAAAGGTTCCAAGGAACTCTTTAAGGTGGGTCTTAAGGCTCGCCTCGGATTCACCACTCAGGGCAAGCTCCTTGTCGATGGTGGAGAGTAGATCAGCTCCGTTGGCATGCATGTGTTTAAGGAACTTGGTCTCGAACTCACCAATTCGGTTCTCGTCGATCTGTAATAAAATAATAGAAAAACAGTTTTATCAGCTTTTGTGAAGACTTATTTTGAATCGTTTAAACACCAAACCTGATACGACTAAACACGAAGTTAAATGCACTCACCTTGTCAAGGTAACCTTGAGTTCCAGCGTAGATGACAGTGGTCATCTCAGACACGGGCATGGGGGAGAACTGGTTCTGCTTAAGCAGCTCAGTTAGACGCACACCACGGCGCAGCTGTTGCTGGGTGGACGCATCAAGATCTGAACCGAACTGGGCGAAGGCAGCAACCTCACGGTATTGGGCAAGCTCCAGCTTCATGGAACCAGACACCTGTGCAATGTGATCGTGTATAGGGTGAGTATACCAAGGATTGTGCTATTTGTTATGTCCTGTATTTGGTCCTAGTCTGTGGTCCAAGGATACATCCTCGAGCACACGGCTAAATAAAGCAATGCCTACTCACTAACAGCGAGCATATATGTAATGTGGTTCACAAAGAGAAAATTAGACCTGTACTTACGACTAAATACAAATCGAATGCAACAGGTGACTGACTGGTGTGGCCACATGAGTCTGTACGTTTCTGGTAGGGAACAGGAACATATAAAATACATGCCTATATGCAACCTCCTACACTGCAGCTTTACTTAACGAACAGACAAGACTATACATCCTGCTATCTTTCACGCGATCCAGCGAAGCAGAAACTGACCTTAAAAATGATCCGCAGATCTTGCATTGAACGATACGGATAGGTCTAAACACGTCAGCCTAACAACCTTGCACATATACCAAGCACAGGTCAACTAACACGTACAACATAATCCAAAGCCAAGTTTATACACGTACCTGCTTCAAAGTTTATACACGTACCTGCTTCATGGCCTTGGGCTGGGCAGCGGAACCGACACGGGACACGGAAAGACCAACGTTGATAGCGGGACGCACACCACGGTAGAACAACTCAGCTTCCAAGAAGATCTGTCCATCGGTAATGGAAATCACATTGGTGGGGATATAAGCAGATACATCTCCGGCCTGGGTCTCAATAATGGGCAGGGCGGTTAGCGAACCGGCACCGTGGGCATCGGACATCTTGGATGCACGCTCCAGTAGTCGGGAGTGCAGATAGAAGACATCTCCGGGGTAGGCCTCACGTCCTGACAAATGTAGAAGCGTATATGTACATGAGTGTGTACAGTGCAACGGTAGCGCGTACGATTATGAAAAGGTTGACAGTGTAACAACGAAGGTAATTGGTCGTGTGTTCAGTGGTTTGTCGACAGTTAAGTGTAGGAAGGGAAACTGTATATACAGAGCCTGTCTTGTGCGATGTACAAGTCTATGTACACATCAATCTGATGTGGGGGGGGACTCGCACTGCACATAGATTGAGAAAATGAAATTCTCCAACTCCGACCACTGCCTACGTAAAATTAATAAACCGGGTATGCTTCCAATATGTGTGTATACAACGAGCACCCGAAGAATACGGTCATAACCACTTCTGTGTGTGCGGCGCAACCGCTTACCAGGGGGACGACGCAGAAGCAGAGACATCTGACGGTAGGCTACAGCCTGCTTGGACAAATCATCGTAAATGATGAGTCCGTGCTTGGCGTTGTCTCGGAAGTACTCTCCGATGGCGCAACCGGAATAGGGTGCAAGGTACTGCAGAGGGGCGGAATCTGAGGCGGTGGCAGCCACAATGGTACAGTACTTCATGGCGTCGTTACGCTTTAGAGTGGTCATAACCTGTGATGCAGATAAAATAAGTTAGACTTAGTACTAGTGAGCATTTGCAATGTGTTATACGTATATTTGAAATCTCACAAGCAATACGTGCACAGCAATTTCGAGATATTGGTATAAGCTATGTGCACATCATAAATGAACGTCACAACGTACTCATACTTGCTCAACTATCACTCACAGACACGTCCACACACCTGGGCAACTGTGGAACGCTTCTGTCCAACAGCAACGTAGATACAGTACAACTTCTTGCTCTCATCTGAGCCGTCGTTGAATCGCTTCTGGTTGATGATGGTATCCAAGGCAACAGCGGTCTTACCGATCTGACGATCACCAATAATCAACTCACGCTGACCTCGGCCTACGGGCACCAGAGAATCAACACACTTAAGTCCGGTCTGCACGGGCTCGTGTACGGACTGACGGGGAATGATACCTGGATGGTGATTGTGGTTGGATAATTATTAGAATACGTATACTATATGGTGTACAACTCGACCGGACTAAATATTGTATACAGCTCGACACAGTATAGTGAAGCCACATCAGTATTTTATATATATATATATATATATATTATTCAATATCCACGGTTACATACCTGGGGCCTTCATGTTGACACGACGACGCTCAGTGGTGTTAAGGGGTCCCTCACCATCGATGGGGTTACCAAGACCATCTACAACACGGCCTAGAAGCTCCATGCCTACGGGCACATCGACAATCTCTCCAGTAAGCTTGACAATGTCACCCTCTTTGATCTCGGTATCGTTACCGAAGATTACACAACCTACGTTGTCGGACTCCAAGTTCAGAGCCATACCCTACAGGTGCACATAAGCGTGGTTGGTTTTAGTATTGGTCTATTGTTCAGGGTGTATACTTGAAGCTGAGTTGAAACCACTGTTTGCATGAATCAGTCAAGTGCCCAAGATACACGAGTATGAAAAGGCAAGGAACCTCTCAAGACGTGCAAACGTTACAAAGTCAAGATCCAATTCTATACGCAGCTCTAACGCAACCATCCACCAAGTGTTGTATACTGCTGAAAAATGAAAAACACCGAACTATATTTAATATATACATTTCGACTCAACAACTTGACAACCCAACTACTTGGTGATATCCACAGCTGACATTTGCAATCACGACCCTTGCAATCAGACTACGACAGTCAGGTAAACTCGGGCTCACCTTAACTCCTGAGGGCTGGAACTCCACCATCTCCTCGCACTGGCATTGTTGCAGACCGTGTACACGTGCAATACCATCTCCGATGGATAGTACACGTCCGGTCTGTTCTACGTCAATACCACCCTTGGACTTCAATAGACGCTCCTCTAGGATCTGAGATACCTCGGAGGTGGACGGGGCAGCTAGTCGTGGCGCAAGAGGACAAGAGAAGAAATAAGAGAGTCTTAGCACCAACTTCGGAATGAGTGGGTTTTTATATATACATAATGTTCATAAGAATTGACGTTAGTGTTGTATCCGTGAAAAAGTACGACGCAGGTGTGTCGACTTTGAAAAACAAAGCAATTTAGATAGATACCAATAACAAGATTTATATACGTACTGCGCCCACTTTTAGCAACGTATTTCGCCATATTTGGAGGCCATTGATAAATGTTCACATTCACAAAGCCACAGACTGAAACTAACTTCCTCAAGTGCTTCTATTGGATATAGACTAAAACAAGCAAAAAAAATGTAAAAATTGTATCCAAATACGCCATTTACATTTATAGCCATCGATATTCGACGAGAAACGAAGAAATTTGGGTGCAAGACAGAAGAACAACATGCTACGCAAAACCACATTATACTACTCAAACACATCCGCAAAAAAATACACATATATACACATATATATATATACACATACATTATGTATAATGTATATATATATATATATATATATATATATATGTATGCTATATATATATATGTGTGTGTGTATATACATATATATATATATGTGTGCGTATATATATATATATATATATATATATCTTACCTCCAGCGTAGTGACGCAGGGCTGATACTGCTGGTGTGGCCGTCTTGGCGGAAGCCTGGTTGATGCAACATACAAGAAGAACATGTAAGCATACGCTCGTGATTCGTTTGAACTCGAAGTAGAGAAAACATAAAATAGCAGTACAGTGGCGATAAAATTGAGTGGGTTTCAAACACTTATCTCCATGAAGAGTGTATTGAAAACCCGCATATATGCCTATAAAAGGACACATGCCGATTGCACGTGATGCTAAGAACACAAACACCACGTACATAAAAAAACAAAAACGCAGAATATTACAACCGAAGGAAACAGGAGATAATCATTTACTATATAGTACATGTAACATTACATGTAACATTATATCATACACATATCTTACTATAGTATATTGTTCGCGCTTCGATGGTACTGAAATATGAAACAGACACCTATACATCCACTTCTGAACACAGACACAGCACCAGGACGCATAAGATCGTCTTATGGATAAAATAGACTATACATTATCCAACGGATGGACATATATCTTACCAAGCGGGAAAACGAACGTAGAGACAGCATAGTGTATTGCACAACGTCTAGGCGTATCTAACTAGCTACTGAGATATACGCACTCCTAATACTGCTTGTATTTTGACTTTGTGTATAGACATTTGACTCTGTTGAGGAAGGTAAATTTGTTGGGGGAGCGCTACCAGACCACAGCTCAGACAGTGGTATTTTCTGGACAGAAATCATTTTCTGCATTTTTAGCAATTTTAGGCCATATTCAGTACCAAATACAAACTATATTGCTCAATTTGGATGGTAATGGTTGGTATTTATCAGAAAACGTACGAAAACGTAAACCTGGAACAGCGTGGTGGCGCTGCTATGGGTGTGTGCCATTACGTTTATTCACTGTGCATTAATTAAGCGAAATTTAGATACTGTAAAAGTGTTCTGCCTGTGGGTAGGTACAGGGCTTCAGGTCGTTTATGGTAGTAAAAATAAATAAATGCTCACGACAATCTATTTATAGAAACACAATGGTGTTTTTCCAGGATCAGAGAGGTTTCCGCCGGTTCCGGGACAAAGAAGTGTATTACGGGATAAAAACATAGAGTACAAAAATGGCAATAAAGTATAGATCGGAGAGATTAGCATTCGAGCTTTGATTCACATATTTAAAATAATAAAATGTTAAACACACGAAAGTGTATTATTTGAAATACTACGTGCTACTATATTACCATAAATATATAACAAATTTACACACGAGAGTGTACTACTACTACCACTATAATTAACAAATTTATACACGAGTGTACTATTTCTTCTATAGTTATGTAATGATTAAGGGTATCTTACGTGTCACTCATATACTTCACGAGCCTGATTTCTCGTTCATATAAGTCATAATGTACAGAAAATTTAAATTTAGTTTCCAACATACATTAGTGTTTAGTTGCCAGTGTATGGCATGGCAATGCCGTATAACAACATGAGTATATTTGGAAAAATAAAACTATGTATAAGCCCTTCACGAGCTTGAATTCAGTGTACATGTCATGTTGTAGTACTCAAAGATGACTTTAAGTGTCCGTCGGACAAAACTGCCGCACATAGTACGAGAATGTGGATGACGGTGTGTGGGAGTATGTACGCGTGAAAATTATGTGTTTCTTATCTTTATCGTACACCACCTTGTATCTGTAGTATTGAGGTGTCAGCTTGATCACACCAAGATAAACTGGTAGAAATTTATAAATTTATGTTTTGATGTATATACATGTGTATCTATATGTATATGTATATATATATGTATGTATGTATGTATGTATATATATATATATATGTGTGTATATATATGTGTGCATGTATGTATGTATGTATATATATGAATATATATATATATATATGTGTGTGTGTGTGTGTGTATAAATGAATATGAAACATTCTAATTCGATATTTTGTTGTTACATATGTATGTTTATTGGGGTGTCAGCGTGATCACACCAGGCTAAACTGGTAGAAATTATATATATTTCTGTTATTATGTCTATATATATATATATATATGCTATATATATATGTATGTGTGTGTGTGTTTGTAGGATTGTGTGTGTGTGCAAACACACACACACACACCTACATATATATAGATATATATATATATATATATATACGTGTGTGTGAGTGTGTAGGTATGTATGTATGTATGTATGTACGCATATTTTTATATAAATATATATAAAACATTCTATTTTGATATTTTATTGATATATATGTTCATATATTCGGTTGCAAACGTTGTTGTCGATTTTACGTTTACCCTTGCATTGTGTGCGGTTTAGTGTGATATCTGTGCTTCCATTTATGCGAGCCCTTTTGAAGTCTTATTTTTTTCCGTTCACCATCTCATGCGTGTTTCTACTCCTCTTCAGTATCATCGAGTGACAGAACCCTGTATCTCTGCAAAATAACTCTTGTTTTGATCTTGGGTTTTATTGTTCTACTCCCTTCTCATTTCAATTACGCTTGCGTATATAATGATTAGAAACACGTTTGAATGTCGAGAGAAATACACAGAAACAAACCAATGTATGAACATCGAAGTAAATACACACATGTGGAGATCGTGAGTTCACTATTCAAACATGAATGCATAAGTAGTGATACTTACATATATGTGTATGTATATATATATATACATATATATATATATATTCACGTGTACATTTCAATATATGCATTCTAGTACATATTTGTCAAAGACATAAGCTTATCCAGATGTTGACATTCAACGTTCTTGTGTCTAGTCTGCTCTCGATGAAATGGATTTGTGTGTTTGCGCTTCTATTTATAAACGAAATAGGCGGGTGCTTGTGCATCTATTACTAAATAATTATGCGTGTACTTGCGCATCTATTACGAAACGATCCATGCGTGTACTTGCGCATCTATTATCAAGACTGATCAAAAACTGGCTATGTCCATAGTTATGTCTACCCAATATTATATAGTATCCGCACAGATACAGAATATGTCCACGAATTTTGATCTGCTCAAGAATGTCAGGTTGATTTAATTTATAAAGCTCGTTTAATGTACAACATCATTCCTGGATCAGGCTTCAGAGTGATTCGCAGTTTTGGCTCAAACTGGAAATCGGGGACCGACCCTACCTCGAAATCCCGCATTAAATTCGCCAGCATCAGCTTCAGCTCCAAAACTGCCACCCGTTGGCCGATACAGCTTTTCCTACCAGCTCCAAACGGCATGTACATGAGACGTTCTTTTCCCGCTGGTCCCGACCATTCCAGAAAACGATCTGGGATGAACTTGTGGGCGTCCTTGTATGTAGACTCGTCTAGCTGGATCACTCCCGGATTGATGAGAATCCATGTGCCCTTCGGAACCTAGTTATGGGGTAGAGATGTGCGTAGATATGAATACATAGCCAACGAAGTGCGTACAGGCGATGTGACAGAGTGAATTGAATCTTTTCATAGGTGAGTATGCGAGAAGTGTAGTTGTACATGAAGCTAGCTTTGCCGTGCCATGGAGAACCCGCACACAGCAAGAATGTGACATGCGCGAAGGCGCACGTGTTAACAGACCACAATTTCATCAGACATCTGTGCTATTCCGGAAAAGTAAGTACAAGGACCTGATACACCTTTACAACCGCCCTGGAATACTCGCACTCCGCCTTGATGGTTGTAGCACAAACATAGCAGGTTCCCTAAATTGCTTAAGAAAAGGTTTCTACAACAAACGCATTGCCGTCTCTGAGATAAGCACTGTAACTCGCTGAACACGATTTGTAGCGGCTCATCAGGGGCTTCCACACCACCCTGGCGGCCTTTCAGACACGCTCTGCACTCCTGCACAAGCACTTGTAGCCACCGGATACCCTGTTAGAAGAAATCGAGCGACAATCTGCGAGCGCTCCCAATCTTTGGCATTAGTCTGATAAACCCTTGACTAACTTCACAATCTCTACTTCCCACTGTACACATGATTCTCCGACAGATCCCTGAGCTAAATACTAGACACTCCTTGCTATTTTTGCGCAATCTACCTAACCTTACAATCACATCATTGACCACACCCTACTTGCTGATTCGCATACCGTATAGCCTCCCAGCTGCACATCCTTGATCGCCTGTCTGGGCATAGCCGGCACAGACGTGGACATGCGCAAACTCTCCTTAACCACCGCGTTCAGCATTGGCAGAGACTCCAACTGCTCAAAGTCAACTTCTGCGTCGTCGGTGTTTTGGTCCCGCAATTCGTCCCGTAATCGTTGCTGGATATCGGGATGCTCGGCTGTGTATGCGAATGTGTGTGAAGATCCTATTGGATGAGTGATAGTGTCGCAAATCGTCTAATTCATCGGCTAATATCATCATGCTGAGTTGCTCAGTCAGGTGAATGTTCTGCAGTGTGTACACAATAGGTGAATTATATCTGTAGATACAGCCCAAAACAGCGATCCATCATGTAGCAGCATGTTATAGTGTCATCCTCATGAAGCTATCTTCTTATAATATAGCATAGCAGCAATAGTAACTGACTACCCATTATATGAGCTCACTTGAACTAGCCGACCTCACAACGTCCTCAATGATCCATCAATTAAAACGCACAATTCGTCTGATATCCAATGTCGCAACTCCCACTTGAGATGCAAAGTGCTGCACGAGAGTGTATGTAGGATGATGTATATGTATATATATATGTGTGTGTCTGTGTGTGTGTGTGTCTGTGTGTGTGTGTGTATGTGTGTGTGTAAGCGTGTGTGTGTGTGCGTGTGCGTGTGTGTGTGTGTGTGCGTTTGTGTATGTGTGTGTGTGTGTGTGTACACTATATGATTCTATATCAATAACCAACTATACAAAGATAGGGGTTTTTTTTGTGTACCTAGTAAGTGAAGGGTCCAGGTCAACGACCCCGCCGTAGTCTCGTGGCCAGCGAAGATGAACTGCTTGCACTGATCTTTGAGCTCTTGATCGCTCAACGGTTCATAGCCCCCACTGTCTCCGCTCATCAGATTGGACAGCAGATCTACCGGCAGATCTGATTGAGTGATATGTAGCATGTCAATGAAATCACTGTGAGTATAACTGTGACGTGGAGTATAATGTCAATGAAGTAGTTTCGAGTATAACTGCGATGGTCAGTATGAGTGGTCCAGCTTCTGAGGGAGAAACGAAGATGCGCGTCACAGTAGAACCCCACAAATGTTAACAGCCGCAAAATTATCATCATTAATGCGGTTGACCCGACTCGAACCAGTCAAACCCACTATGCGCACAACAACTGCTCTGGCGATATACTGCAGTAGTGAACAGAAGGTCACAGTGCTCTATATAGTAAGTAGTGGCGCACGCGCACCCGTCTTGTCCTTGCGCTTCCCTAATGTTCTGTATGCGCAACACACTGCAATTTGTCGCATTCTCCATCTGACACGTGCGCACAGCAGCTGTCAGTTATGCGTGTACGCTACACAACCACACCCACCGAGATCTAGACACATTCACGACTATCCTATTCCAAACGATCAGTGTTTGCTTTTGTATGACACTAAATAGCCTAACTCAGCACAATATATCTGAAGCATACATATCTAGCACAGGCACACCTTTCTTGGTATCGCTGCGTGCCAATTCCTCTCGTTTGCTGGCTATGACATTGTCCACCAGCCGATCGATCTTGGCGGCTGACTCAAAGTAGTCTCTAAACAAATCCCGCGCAAACACGTGGATCTGATGCGATATATAAGTAGTCATAAGCGTGAACATATGCCAAGTAAGAGGTGTGAATGCGCTTGCTATGAGTAGGCAACAACAATAGATAATTCAGGTACGTGTCGAACTAGCCCCTGTGCATATACCGTGCAAATACGTGCATCTGATACCACATAGAATTAGTATGAACCGGCCTGCGATATGAGCCCAGTGACAAGGAGTGATAAATAACACCTAACCCCCACGAGATGTTCGGTACGCTTGTCTGTAAGTATGTATATTCCATTACTGCATGCCTCTGCCACGACTCGTCAAGCCAAAAACCGATACGGTCTGCATTCTACACTCAACCCAATGGTGAGCCATTTTCTGAAGCTTAGACATTGATGCTGTAGGTCTTCAGACGTACAACTACACAATCACAGAAAGACGAGTACTGCCTTGTCGCTTCTTCCAGCGCACATACGTGAGCATGCCTGTGATGCATATGTACCGTACTACGTAATACTGTGAGAGAGACCAGATGCAAAGTTGCAAACTGAACATGTTCGCATGCACCCAAAAAAAAATACAGGACACTGTGGCACTATGTGTTCACTTTCCACTGTGAGTGTTAGTACACCGGTGAAAACTCCGGCAGAAAGAACTTAAATCGAGCAGGAGTAAACCATCCGGACTTTGCAAACTCGTTCACCGAAGCTCAGCTAAACACAGCACACTCTGTCAGAAAACATACAATCTCTCAATATCAAGTATATGCTACGCACACACTTACCCGTAGGAAGTGCGGAAGCAGAGAATCCCAGGAGAGTTTGAAAATTTTCATCATTGTCGAGAACTCGCGATGGTAGTCGACATCGGCATCGACCCCCTTGACAGCTAGAAAAAATCATTGCAATGACATAGATTTAGTTATATATGTGTGCGTACCATACGATAAATTGGCGTTACATCTCTGAGTATATCTGGCAGCAAACAATCCCTGAGCAAGCGTTCTTTTAGAGCGAATAGCCCATGATCTAATCGAATGGATACTTAGCTCTAGACAACGAATTATGTATCTTAGCAAGTATAGCCATGCCATGAGCATACATCATCGCAAGTCAGATGAGATAAATCGCCTAGTACAAAACACGGGTAAACTACATACTTGCTTTCCCCTTTGCTATGCAAAGAGACTCACTATTCGATTAGAGTACCGTGCTCATACTTCTGCTACAGCAATACATTGACTACTAAAACTCATCTACAAGATACCCATAGGGACATCGTGTAGTTCTGCTACCTATTCTAATACATTTCCTGACAACCTCTCCTGTCCGAAAATAATAGGCAACTTTCCAGCCTTGCGCTGTGGCGAGATAGGTGTGTACACATTGCCGCAACACATACTAACAGAAAAAACGACTGCAAACGTTGTTAAACCTTAT